TCTATTATTCTATACTATTCTAGTATTTTCTATGATGACCTAGTTTGGGCAAGCAATACACCACAATTTGGAAAACGACTCACTCATTTATATCAGTGCGGTATAAATCTTGTAACAATTACTCTTCTAAGTCTAAAGTTTCATCTTCTACCTCAGCAGATAAATAAAATTTGTCCTAAGGATTCCTGACGTAAGTTCCCACTCACTTTGTAAGTTCCTACTCACTACGTAAGTTCCTACTCACTACGTAAGTTCCTACTCAATACGTAAATTCCTACTCACCACGTAAGTTCCTACTCACAATGGTCCTTTTATATGTGGTCCCTTTACATGTGGTTCCTTTATATGTGGTCCCTTTACATGTGGTTCCTTTATATGTGGTCCCTTTACATGTGGTTCCTTTATATGTGGTCCCTTTACATGTGGTCCCTTTACATGCGGTCCTTTCACATGTGGTCCCTTTACATGTGGTCCCTTTACATGTGGTCCCATTATATGTGGTTCCTTTACGTGTGGTCCCTTTACATGGGGTCCCTTTACATGTGATCCCTTTACATGTGGTTCCTTTATGTCATAAGTTTTGACTTGAACTGACTAAGCGAGACGTGCGACTTTTGGCTTAATATTCATGCATTTACTTATCATATCATAATTGGCATAACGAAATTATTTTGTCTGAAGGATGAAGTGACAGAGAGGAGTAAGGATAATTCGCTACACAGATTAAAAATATGGAAAAATATGGAAGATGAGACTGGGGAGAATATAAGACTAATAGAGTGTGTAAGAAGGGTCGATCAGGAAATTAAAGGGAGAATATTGGTGGTTAAATAAGAAAGAGAGAATAACATGAGAAAAATTGTATTGAAAATGAGGAAAGGATGGGGAGTAAGAGGAGTGAGTAGGAGGAGAGGGGAGGAGTGAGGGGAATAGGAGGAGTGAGGGGAGTAGGAGAAGTGAGGGGAGTGGGAGGAGTGAGGGGAGTAGTAGGAGTGATGGGAGTAGGAGGAGTGAGGGGAGAGGGGAGTAGGAGGAGTGAGGGGAGTAGGAGAAGTGAGGGGAGTGGGAGGAGTGAGGGGAGTAGTAGGAGTGAGGGGAGTAGGAGGAGTGAGGGGAGTAGTAGGAGTGAGGGGAAGGGAGAAGATGAAGCCAGCAAGTCTAGGTGCGCACGACGCGCGCGGCAGTTAAGGTTTAATTAAGGAGCGACGTGCCTCGGGAATGTCAGTTCCACCTTACCTAGTGAAAAAATAGTAGATTCGCTTCACAAACTATAACGAAATTTTAGTTTAAAAATTGTAGCATTATTAAATAACATTTTTTCACGCGCAAATTCAAATAGATTAATGCTTCAGGTAGGGATAAAAGTATCAAAGAAAACAAAGAAAATTTCTAGTTTATTAGCAATTAATTTCTATGAACGCTGTGAAAATTGCAAAGGCTATTTTAAATTATTATTTTTTGTTTGTTTTTGTATTGTTTTTTTTCAGACAAATTTAACTTGAAACAGGACATAACAGAAACTTTGACTTATTGCTTTTTCACATAAAGTTCGCATACAATAGAAACAGGAAAGTAACATCAAAGTTACCTTCAAAAGAACCAAGGAACGAACGCAATGACCACAGCCAAAATTCAATAATGAGATAAAAAAATATATCAAGAAAAAATTTAGTTTCAAAATATTGCTTACTTTTTTAGTTATACAGTACATACCTACGTATCAACTTTATTATGATTTTAAAATATTTTACATCTTTTGTCACTACGATAGCCCACATATTTTATAATTTTACGGAATTACTTCGAAATTTCTTACATAACCATAATTATCCTCCCACTAATATGAGTGAATATTTCTGGATTATGTATTCATGTTTGATACCAATTTAATGTACGGTACTCAAAATAATAATTTTTAAAGAATTCAAGGCGCCTGAATCACACATTGCATATGAAGTACGGTGATTAAAATCACCCACTGAGAGCTAGCCAAGCCAATCCTCCGTAAACAGCTAGGAAAACCATCACTAGTGCAGGGAATACCAGCTGACTAAACCTGTTTAGTCTCCCAGCTAGATCCCGTGACACGGGCGGTATCGATGTGAGATTACCAACAGAATTACCTGAAGATGATTCATTTTTTGAAGTACTAGATGAGTTCCCAGAAGATGGATACCTTGTTATTGCACCAGGTTCATTTGTTGGTGTTGGATTAGCGAGAAATGTTCGAGAAGGCAGCGTGTCCAAGTCCATTTGTTTATTCGCAGGATGAAGTGAACCCAAAGATAACTGATCATATTCAGTCGACTTAGAAGCAACCATCAGTGTCCGGTTTGTAATTGTACTAGGTTCATTTGCTAGTGTTGAATTAACATGAAATGTTCGAGAAGGCAGCATATCCAAGTCTATTTGTTTATTTTCATGATAAAGTGAACCCAAAGATACCTCGTCATATAATGTTGAATTAGATGAAGCCATGAATGTCTGGCCACGTGAAGATTCATTCTTCAACTTAATGTCTGATGAAAAACTCGGTGTTGATTGTGAGTCATTCTGCCAGCTGTAGCCATCTGTAGCCCATCCATCTGTAGTCCGACCATCTGTAGTCCGACCATCTGTAGTCCGACCATCTGTAGTCCATCCATCTGTAGTCCGACCATCTGTAGTCCATCCATTTGTTCCATGTTTGTGGAGAGGAATGGACCGATGCTTGCCAACATTGCTCCCACGGAAGCATTTTTTTCCTATCGAGGATATCCGACCTGGAAAATTTATTCGCGAATAAATTCGCGAAATATTTTAAAATGAAGTTCAATTTAAATATTTCAAATATTTCAAATATTTTTCGCGAATGCATTTTAAGTCAGCATAGTTTTTCTTTCATAGCCGATTAAGGTTCTAATTAGTTACATTCTTTACTTAACTTATTTGCAATTACATTCGCTAAAACAGCGTAAAATTATCTATCTAATAAAAATTGTATTAAAAAAATAATGAAAATAAAATACTTTAAATGTTAGAATGCAAGTTATCACGAATGTAAACCATAGTTATCATTTGACAATTGAATAATTGAATGATATTTAGTTCTTAATATGTAAATTAAAGACACATAGGCACCTCCATGTTTGCTTCTTGCCCATCGCTTCCGCATAGGCCGTAGAAAATCTCTTTTCCTTTCACATTCTCTTTCCCTGGCCTTCCCCTCATCCAGAGGACGTTGAGGGGATGCCAGGGGGAGTGGAGGAGCACATTGAGTTTGAATGGAGCTTTTCTACAAGAAAAAATAAGTTTGAACTATAAATAAATATATAAATGTTTAAATTTATTTGAAATAAATAAATTTGAACTATAATGCATAAAACAATAATTAAATTCTTTCGTAAATCGATGCAAACAGTACAAGACTAGGCTATGCAATAAATTATACGCGATAAAGTGAATGCGAAACTCCGTTTTGGTATTTAATTTTAAAGTGAGTGTTTATCACTTCTAGAATACATTCTATCTGGTATGTAAGAGATCCCACCTAGAAGTAGTTGATGACACCCTAGAATAAATTCTTTCTAGTACCCGCCTATAAATAGTAGAGCGAGCTTCTCTAGTAAATAATGTTAGAGTATCAAGTAGAAGTAGTATGCCTGTCCGCCCTATGGTGTTAGGGACAGCCTATAAATATATAATTTTATCGATACTTAGGTTACGTGTTTTGTCATTTTGTTTTTGAGTTACTATTACGTGACCTCGTGTAGACCCGCCGTGTAACTTGTCATTGTTATGTAGGGCGCTAATACCTTCGTCGGTGCTGCGCCGTATCTTAACCAAGTAACCATGCAAGTAAGTATTGTTATGTGATCCACCACAGAGGTTAGTACTTGCATTGTTTATCGTGTGTTGATCTTCGTGTTGATATAGTGGTGGCCTTTTTGTTGATATTTAATATTATTATTTATGTTAGTCTTTATTTGGGTGTTATATTCATTTGTTAGAGTTCCGTTAATTCAAGTCCTTGATTTGTATTTATTCTTGCTTTTCAGCGGGGCTCCGAACTTAAGACGTGATTAGGAATTAGTGGGCAAGGGCTAGAGAGACACGCGGTTTATAGTTTTGTAATTTGTTTTCTTGTATTTATCGTTCATTTATTATTATAGTTCTTTATTTGTCAGTTTTTATTCATCCTTTTTATTTGCGATCATTGGCCAAGTGTTCGGGGTCAAAGAATGCTTATTTATTGATTAGTCCCCAACAATGGATGCCTAATATAGTATGCTGGAATACCCACGTAAAAGTAGTTGAATGTGACCTACAGTGGGGGGAAATAAATATTCGTAACCTTTAAAAATCGTATTTTAATGTATGTAAGTACACAAACTTAACAGGAAAAGTGATTTAAATTATGTATAGAGACGCATAGTATTCAAAAATACTATCAAAAGAAATTAAATCTCAATGCAACAAAAAACAATGCAACATGTTCACTTTTCGGGTGAAAAAAGTATTCATGAGCTGAATAAAGGGTATTTAACCAAGTATTAAATTAAAATAATGCGGATTTATTGTTTTGTACGAATACTTTTTTCACCCGAAAAGTGAACATGTTGCATTGTTTTTTGTTGTATTGAGATTTAATTTCTTTTGATAGTATTTTTGAATACTATGCGTCTCTTTACATAATTTAAATCACTTTTCCTGTTAAGTTTGTGTACTTACATACATACATTAAAATACGATTTTTCAAGTGTACGAATATTTATTTCCCCCCACTGTATGTGTGCATTCTGTCTAATACCCCGTAGAAGTAGTATATAAGTTTGTCTAGTAAGTAAGAGTACCACGTAGAAGCAGCACGTAAGAGCACCACGTAGAAGTAGCACGTAAGAGTACCACGTAGAAGTAGCACGTAAGAGTACTACGTAGAAGCAGCACGTAAGAGTACCACGTAGAAGCATCACGTAAGAGTACCACGTAGAAGCAGCACGTAAGAGTGCCACGTAGAAGCATCACATAAGAGTACCACGTAGAAGTAGTTGATGATGACGAGAGCGACGATGATGAGGAAGAGGCATGGTGATGCAGAACAAGAACCACACGTCTACCAGCCGTAGGTAGGCTGTACGGGGCATGGTCTGTGATACCTGACAGCGGTGCAGCGAACATTTAAAGGGACAGTTTCGGTAAAAAAATCATTATATTTTTTTTTATTTACGGACGAATTGTTTTGAAAATTGGTACATGCATGTAAAACAAAAATTTAAGGTCTTTTTGTTAGTGCAACTTTTTAGAAAAAATTAAAGAAAACTTGAAATTTGTAGAAAACGGCGAAAAAAGGGGGAACTGTAAAAGCCTATCTTCTCATCCTATAAAGATGCTACAGCATCGAGAGACCTAACCTAACAGAAATTAATTTAGGACACGTGCATTAATTGATGAATGATTAGTAATTGATGAACGATCTATCATTTAAAAATTTATATTTTCACACATATTTAATGCACATGTGAGTATAAGAAATTCATTACATCGCTTAAATCAAATGACATTTTTACATTATCTTTTCAAGTAATTAATTTTTTATCATTCATATATGTTATGCAAGATGATTTAATTTCTAACGGATCAAAACTCAAAATAAATCATTATTATTAAATCTGAATCAAATGTTGAGAAATTTCCTGTGATATATTTATATTAGAATATTCAATTATATGTATATTCAAAATGAATAAATTTTCATCGTACATGCGGTAGAAAATATTGTTTTATTATAATATTTACATCATAATCAAAATGCTCTGAAGTACATAATAAAAAAATTTCATTATTATTACGTAATAAAATTGTATTACTATTAATTATAACGGCAATTATAATATACATAATACAATTATAACATACATATAATATATTCATATTAACATTAGGAATGTACGTTTGACCTGAGTGAAGAACTGAGCCTCAACGAGCAGTGTCGTCAGAGTGACCATCACTCTGGAAATTAACAGGACACATATTACAACCTCTGAACATTTATACTAAGTAAATTAAAACTAAAATACATACATTTTTAACAATCATTTTCTCATTATTATTTCATCACATATTTGGCGCTAGTTCATTATTATTTGTTATTCAATAAACTAGTTATTAATTCCTTAATTCCATTATTCCTAGCAAGTGCATAATTAATAATATTTTACTATACTATATTATGATTTATGAATTATATTAACGATACTTTATTAATGATAAGTTTCTGAATGGTACCTGTCGTTGAAGTCGTCCAGGGGGAAATGGAAGGAGAGGTACCCAATTATAAGTAGAATCAAGGTAGGAGCGAAGGTGCTGATGATGTGATAGGTGACCAAGTTCTCTAGTATCATCGATACCTCGATTACTGAAGATGAACCGTCCTCGCTAGGCTTCTGTGGTTAGAACAATGTTTGTAATATCAATTCTAAAATCATTTGTCAAAATTCCTGAATGGATTGATGGAATGTATCCTAGTACTCGCCCCTAACAAGGCGCTTCTCAGGATATCCCTGGTGACGCCGTTATCCTTCAACCTCGATGCCAAGAATGGTGTTCCTCTACCCCTTCCGTCCAATATCCCGTTTCCGTTAAACAGTTGTACAAAGTCCCGTTTCTGTTAACTCCGTTGTCAAATTTTCGTGTTCCTTCAACCAGTTGTTTAACATTCCGTTTTCTTTAACTCTTTTATCCAATATCCCGTTTCCATTGATCCCATTGCCAATATCCCGTTTCCTTTGACTATGTTGTCAATACCCCCTTTCCATTGACTTCGTCGTCCAATTGCTGTTTCCATTGACCCCATCGTTCAACATATCGTTTCCATTGACCCCGTCGTCCAACATATCGTTTCCATTGACCCCATCGTCCAACATATCGTTTCCATTGACCCCGTCGTCCAACATATCGTTACCATTGACCCCGTCGTCCAACATATCGTTTCCATTGACCCCGCCGTCCAACATATCGTTTCCATTGACCCCATCGTCCAACATATCGTTTCCATTGACCCCGTCGTCCATTATACCGTTTCCGTTTCCATTGACCCTGGTTGACCCTGTTGTCTAATACATCGGTTCCCTGACGGTGCTACGAGCATGTTTACGGTGTCAGTCTTAAGCATAATAAATGTAATTTGACAAATATTCGGTAGATAATCGTTGACATTTTTTCAAAATATAAGCTGAATCATGCTATATTAAGTTGGGAGTTTGAATATCTGAAGCACTTAGTTCACAACACGAAAACAACCCGCATGACAATTAAATCTATCGAGAAATCTTTTAAACATTCATGAATTATAATCAAGACGTTAATTTGTTAACCAAATATTCGCCATAAGATATTAATTTATCCCGTAATTACCAATTTTTGGCGATTGATGTACAGATAATGAAATGTGATTACCTCGGTGACGTTCACAGATATTTTCTGGACGCTGTACTCCAGTAGGCGGGGTGACCCCTTGAAGATAACTCCTCCTTCCGCAGCTGACAGGTTCACAGGGCTCACACTCGGGGCAATCATCTATCAAGTTTAATTAATACTATATTTTATCACACTTTATTCTCCCATGTCAATTGAACGAAAAACTATCCTTCCATTAAAAATCAGGTTAACCATTCGCGAGATGTCAAGATAACACGGTCAGTCAGCGGAGCTGGAAGACAAGTAAGAAGTCATGTCCATAAACTAAGGCCTGTAAATATTGTAAGAAGTAACCGCATACATCGAAGTGAAAGGCATAAAAAGTTTTAAAATGTTTTAACAAGAACTCGGGTTCCATTTCCAACAACAAAAGTAAACTGTTAACTGTGATCGTAAACGAGTGTATAAAGACATTTTTGTATTACGGAAACACTCCCTAAAAATCACGGGGTGAAATGGAACCTGTTGAATTTCACTTGCCAGGTTTTGATTGTTTTCATAACTTGAATGAAGTATGCTGACGAGTATTTCTGGAATATTAAAAAGAACATTGCCTGATTGCGTTCGTTCCTTTTTGGTATAAGATTACTTATTAAAGAGCAGAAAAATCAGAAGAATTTTCAGTAAAATTACAAAATGTTTTGATTATATTTTTATTAACACATCCTATATGTGCGCATTTTTTTAAAACCAATTCTAATGTAATTTTTAAAAATCTTACCAAAGAACATTTTTGCGTGTCGAAAGGGAAAGCAAAGAAGTCGAAGGAGCAGCTGGAAGAAACCGTGAAGGCTGCGTTGAGCAGCAGAGGGTTGTCTTCTCCGTCGAAAATGTTGTCTGTGATTATAACTGAGCATAGGATTACTGGTTCTTAACATAACAATCATGATTGATAGCGATAGGATGAAGGTAGCCATGTCTGCACAACGCATTTGCATTCAAAATGGTATTTTTTAGGACAAAAATGCAAGTTTATTTACCGAACAAGCTCATATAAGTACGAATTTTTCAGAACATTTGCTAAAAGACTCGGAGGAAATTTAACTTCGATGGCGAATATGATATTTTTGAACGCTACGTGCATTAACTAAGTTGAATTAACAAAATTATTCAAGTGACGCTGGCATCAAATACGTACGTTACCTGTCGTATCGTTAATGAGCAACCTCACGTTTCAGGCATCCACGTACCTTCAAACACGCTCTCCAAACTCCTGGCCATCGGTTCACTCCTCCTGACAATGAACAGTTCCTGCGCCCTACGAGTAACGTCGCTTGCTGCAGACTCTGCGCCGTAAAAATTAACCCCAGGAAGCCATACTTTTCGGGAAAGACCATATTGTTCGATGGCATCGTCCAACTTTGTCAACCTTCCGTCCCCTTTTAGGTTCCTGTAATTCAAACGACTGTCACACCATTGAAACGACGTCATTAGCTCAACGGTTAACTGGAAGGTTTGGAGGCTAACATGCTTGATGGTCAGAATCGTGATGTGGAAGTCCATCTGTAAAATTGATGAACCTGCCATATGCTGTCCTTGAGATTTTGGGGCTTCATTATCGATATAATTCGCTGGGAAAATCACTGAATCGCAGTCCATTTCATCACTGCCATCTGGACAATCGTGTTTGGCATCGCATCGCTGCCTCATCGATGTGCAAGTTCCGTACTTACAGGTGAATTCACCTGATTTGCATACCGTAAGTTTCAGTTCAATTTCTTTACCACTGCAAATGTCGTTTTCAACATTCCACTTGTTGAGGCCAGTAGGCGAGTGACCAAAGAACTCTCTCGCCATAGTGGCATAAACACGGGGCTGGTCTAAGCGAGTCAATTGCCAGTGGCCTAATATGGTTCTTGGATCATCTGATTTCAGCTGAATCGTGGAGTAGTATTGACCAACATACTCAACTCTTCCTTGATCGTCCGTTGATACAAAGTACATCTTATCGAAATAAGATTTCTCGCACAGACCTCTCAGTGTCAACATTGTGGGTTGTTCGAATCGACAAACTGTACATCGTGGCTCGACGCAGTCGCTGGTTTGCCAAGTCCCTAGCCACATCTCCATGTCCTGAGGGTCTCCATTAAAGGTCCCGCAGGTGTCTTCGGTGTACTCCAGCGCGATCTTCGAGTCGACGACTTTGTTGTATTTTAGGATCTCTCCGGTCATGAAATCCACGACGGATTGTGTCTTGTGCAAGTGATGGGCTCGAATCCACAGAAAGTCTGTTTTAGAAGTGGGGCAAATATCCGAGTAACGAAAAGCAAGTTGTAAAAGATTTTGGTTTTGAATTTCATCTTGAGGAAGAGTCATAATCCCACCTATCGAAGAACAAAGATTTAACGCTTCTCGAAATGTCCTTAACTCTGGGAACACGACATCGTATGCCTGCGAATTAAAGCACCTCTTTGAATTGACTTCCATCAAGTCCAATTCAACATCAGTGACTGTAAAAGAAGAGTTCATATCGAGGTATGCAACGTAAGGCATTTTAGAGTCAACACAATTGGAGTAGTTACGACTAACTTCAGAGTCGACCGCACGTGAGAACAATCGAAGATCGGAAATGTATCCTTGCATACTTTGCTCCTCATTGAACCCTCCACCCTGCACGTCTTGTTCTTGCCCCACCATTAGAGTTCCTCGGCCTCGCATGATGATGGCTGAACGGTTGCTCCGGGGGTCAACATTCAGAAACCCTGACTTAATCTCTCCATTGTGCCAAAGTTCATAAGTTGCGTTCCACAGGTGCACAGTTAAGCAAAATGAGTACCATTTGTAGAGGTAGAATTTAAAGGGAAACTCAACCGTTGCGTTGCCATCGCAGCAGTTGAACTTCATGGTTTGTTGGCCATATCTGAAAACTACCACGCTTTCATTACATTCACATCCAAGGTTCTAGTGATGCATGTAATGATGTAATAACTACTGCATCGTATAAAACTATCATGTTAAAACGTTTTAAGCAATATTTATGGGATTCACTCCTTCATGATGACAGTCGAGATCGGAAAATATGACAGAACGCAACCCCAATAACATACGGGAAATTTTCTAATATTTTTAGAATTCCCTTCTTCATGGCAGTTGAGATCGGAAAATATGACATAACGTTATCCCAATAACAAACGGGAAAATTTCCCAATTCAATTTTTAATAAGTGTTATCATTGACTCACTGATTAAAAGTTCGTTATCAAAGTCATTAGTGGCGTAAGAAATGACAGGGAAGAGAGCTCGTCCTTGCGTAGCCATTATACGTGCACATGCCGTAAGTTCAACCATGTCGGGGACGTCGGGGCCAGAGTAGACGAGGGCGCTGCGGGTGGTGGCTATGCGGTCCTTCTGGAACCAGGCTCGGGGAGCTGCATGTTCGGGAAATTAGAAAATTAACGCTTATAATTTCAAGAAGTTTTTGTTGGCAGGCACGGAAATTTTAAATATATATAATTAAAATACAGAAATTCTAAATATCGTGTTGGCTCAGATGTACATCCGAGTTCATATGAAGTTTATTAGCTGGATCACCGCTCACGGAACTGGCAATAGCAGTTAACAAGGAAGTCACGATGAGTAAATTACTAAAGAACAAGTCGGTATCTATTCAATTTATTCAATTATTGAAATTTTATTAATATATACTTAACGTTTCTTGATGTGCATGGGCTTTTGATGTAAAAAGCATGGGCTTTTGATGTAAACAAGTTCATTTCAATTTAATTCTAGCACAACTCACCCAAATAAGAAGACGCCGCTGGCAGCAGTGCCAGTGAAATTGCGGCCAAGGCAATCATTGAATGATATTGATATTTTTTGCGTTTGAAGTTCAGCATCTGAAAATAAAACATGAATCAACGAAAAAGTACCCTACCTTCTACACTGCTTTAAGCTCTAATGCTGGTTATAATGAAGTGAATGGATCATATTATCCGAATTTTGACACACTTTTTACGCACAAGAGAAGCACAAATCTGTCGAAGCTTGATATACGTGTTTGTGCGGCGTTTCAGTAACCGGCCGGCACGTGAAAATAAACATCGTGTTGCCGTTTTTATTCCAATTTTACACTAGAAACCCTGTAACATCTGGAAAACATGGCAAAATGGTTCATTTTCACGGGGCGGCTGGCTGCTAGAACGCCGGTAAGACCGTTTTTAGCGCATTTTCTCATTTATGGACAAAAAAGCGCTATTGTGCCCGTCATGTCCGTTTGTCTGTCAGTCCGTCTGTCCGTGACTTCACGATTTCGTCGAAGAGAAAATATTTTTTTTTTCACTATTTTTTCGAACAGTATAGCCTCAACTAAGTCGGGATGACCTCTTATACAAGAAGTGTGTCGCTATTTGAACAAAGTCAAACTCATTTCTCCGAGTCATGCGTTTTATATTACTTAAAAGTATTAAAGATATCAATGCATACTATTTTATTTTAAATTTTATAATTGTTAATGCATTTTGTGTATGTTTTTATTGTATAGGCAGGGAGGTTCAGTGGTCACAGTTGAGATTATTAGGATTAGTGCAGCTAGCTATGGGTTCGATCCATCTACCTGCAACAGTGGTTAGTGGCCAGGTGGTTAAGCACAGCAAAATTGGAGCAGTGGGTTGCGTGTTCGAGACCGCAAATAGCTGCAAAATATTCAGCGATGTATAATCGTCGACAGGCCTACGGCCAAATGTACGCTGAAGCCGCTACTATAATATTTTTTATGTATATTATTTTTCTGACTTTTTACGATGAAAAATAATTATCTATCTTTTTAATTTAGTAATAATCCGAATGATTGCACGCGTTTCGGGTTCAAATTAGGCTAATGCTTAAAGATATTGGCGGCAATTTTTTCAAAATATTCTTCCTTGTTAAAGCTAATAATGTTATTGAGCTACCTTAACACATATGTAATTTATATTAGCTAGGCACACTTCAACATCAATAAGCTTAATCATATCAATGTTTGCGTTAAAATTAACAATTTAAAAGTTTTAAAATCATCAATTGAAAGCCAGAATCAAAGCCAGTCAGTTTCCTAACTGCTTGATGCTTAACGGCAGCGATTTATTTTTCAACATCGAGCCTTTCTAATTAAACCTTTTACTGACTGTCACAAGCGGCATCTCCGTTACAGTTGTACAGTACTACAGTACAGTACTGTGTAGATTGTGTACAAGCATTTCTGTGTAGTCTCGACCTATTGGTGTCGTTTGATTGGCCACCCACACACTGAAGGAAATTTAGTATCTGATTTCCATATGCAATGTCCAATCTCCAGCGCTGAGCTGGTGGAACTCTCCGAGGACTGAACGCGTCAAATTTATTTTAAAAAATATAACTCAGTTCCCACTGCAGCGAGTGGTAGACAGCACATTTTCGCGTCGACTAAAACGTTAAGTCACGGACGGACAGACAGACGGATGGACATGACGAGCACAATAGTGCATTTTTTCAATAATATTAAAAATATAGTAATAAAAATAGTAAAAAAAATAATAATAAAAATAATAATAATAATAATAATAATAATATAAAAATAATAATAATAATGATAATAATAATAATAAATAATAATATTCATCTCTCTACCAGGATGTTCAGTCTTCAAATTAGAGATTCTACAAACACGAAGAGGGGTCTGAGCGTCGAAAATTACTAAAAATCTTTGCAAAACTGCTTTTTCGAGAAATTCTTTTAACATAAAGTAATGTAACATAGCATGTTAGTAATGTTATATTGATAAACAGCCTGAGTTAATAGGCTTCATGCCGCAGGTAACAGAGATGTTACACCAGGTAACGGATATGTTACACCAGGTAACGAAGATGTTACACCAGGTAACGGAAGTGTTACACCAGGTAACGGGGATGTTACACCAGGTAACGGAGATGTTACACCAGGTAACGGGGATGTTACACCAGGTAACGGATATGTTACACCAGCTAACGAAGATGTTACACCAGGTAACGGAAGTGTTACACCAGGTAACTGGGATGTTACACCAGGTAACGGCGATGTTACACCCGTTAACGGAGATGTTACACCAGGTAACGGGGATGTTACACCAGGTAACGGAGATGTTACACCAGGTAACGGGATGTTACACCAGGTAACGGGGATGTTAAACCAGGTAACGGAGATGTTACACCAGGTAACGGATATGATGAGTGACGCTGCCGTGTGAGTTACATGAGTGACGCTGCCGTGTGAGTTACGTGAGTGACGCTGCCGTGTGAGTTACGAAGATAACACAACGCGTTGCCGTTACCAGCCACGTCTTTTATAACGCCAGCAAGTTACTCATCATCCATCAACCACTCAATATCTCCATACAAATATTATGCCTTCATAAGTCCATGTCTTCGTCAGTTATAATTGTGAAGTTTTTTTTATACTAATATTATTATTTCATATGCAAACTAACGGATTTGTACAGTGACGGTTCACAATTCTTCACTTTTAACAAACCTTTTCACATATTTAACGAATGCCTTCCATTCAAAACTTGCAAAGCATTTGCACATATTGGTGAAATTCAAACTAAAAAATAAACATGTATAAAAATTATTAGTTTCTCTTTATTTATCCAGGAGCCTGAATCAAACGTTGTTGTACTGTATTTGAACATATTCTTCCGTTTGAACAAAATAAAACACATTTACATAAAGTTGCATGGTGTTATTTAAAAAAAATATTCCATACGTCTATTTTACAGCTTTATTTTTGTACTGATAACAAGTCAAACAACGATTTATAACACAAACGATTTATAACACGTAACAACCTTGACAACTGGAGAACAGGGTGCCTATAAATTAATGAGCATTGAAGGGTTATGGACATAATGCGACAAGTTTTCAAATGAGGACCAATTAGGCTTCATAGGCGCAGTGATTGATGAAATTTTTGAATCATAATTTGTTGTGATGAATCATTGTGGCTGAGGCATGACATGGCATGAAAGGATGCATGGTTGTGACTGAGGCATGACTTGGCATGAAAGGATGCATGGTTGTGGCTGAGGGATGACTTAGCATGAAAGAATGCATGGTTGTGGCTGAGGCATGACATGGCATGAAAGGATGCATGGTTGTGGCTGAGGTATGACATAGCATGAAAGGATGCATGGTTGTGGCTGAGGCATGACATGGCATGAAAGGATGCATGGTTGTGGCTGAGACATGACATGGCATGAAAGGATGCATGGTTGTGGCTGAGGCATGACAAGGCATGAAAGGATGCATGGTTGTGGCTGAGACATAACTTGACATAAAATTATGCATGATTTGTCTCTTGGAGATCTTAGGACCCACGCTTTTCCTGTCGTAAGCAAATCATTCAGTTTCCGTACAACATGAACGATATCCCTTTTGGCGATCGGGTAGAAATAATGCTTGGAACTGTAGCAAAGTTGTAGTGTAAACTGAATTGTAACTACAATCAAAATGCGAAGCTAAGATTCAACGCATTTCATGTTTGGTCAGGCTACAATTTTTCATTTTACAGCTCAGATAAATAAGTAACCACTTTTCTAATATAATCGTAATGCAGTTAATTCCTGTTCTAAAGTTGAATAATTTAGTTGCATGGCAGTAAAAGTTATTAGTGCAAATCCGAATATGCAGGGAGCATTTTCTTGCATCTGCGCCAAATGCATCAGAGCCATGCGCAGATGCGTGAACCTACAGTTCAAGTTTTGCAGCATCCTCGCCATAATCATGGTACGATAGTTTCTGGTCATGCTACATCTGAACCTTTGTACTGACTAGAACCCGGACCCGAACTGCTCCGCCGAACCCGGCCCATGTGACTAAAACCTGGACCCGTATCTGTCCGCCGGACCCGGTTCACAAAATTGAAAAGCTGCAAACAATTTGAAACGTCGAGAAAACTTGAAATTCCACAGATCAAATTTTCATTTAGGCTTATACAAATTTCGTCTGACCGGCACATGACAGTCTAAGAGAGGCGAATTTTTAGATCAAATTAATCGATAGATAATGTTCTGAAACGCTAAAGAAGAAAACATATTTATAGCATTTTGTCAATTCACTTAGAAAAATTTCTTGACAGGTCCGGGGGACCCCGGACCAAGTTACTACAACCCGCTCCCATGGATTCGGGTCACAATTGGTATTCTAATTGGTATAGAATGTTCTGAAACGTCCAGAAACATTCTGAACCTTCTCTATCTATTAGTTCGATCGAAAAATAAGCTTTTCTGTGACTCGAATACATTGGTCCTGGTCAGGGTTTAAGTCACTTGGACCGGGGTCCGGGGTCCCACGGACCTGACATGAAATTCTTATGAGTAAATTGACAAAAATTCGATAGAAGGGTTTTGATTGCTGGGCGTGTTCAAACATTCTCTATCAATTAATTCGAACGAAAAATGCACTTTCTTAGGTCTTCATGTGCTGGCCTGACGAAATTTTTCTGAGCAAAATTTTAAAATTTGTTATGTAAAATTTCAAGTTTTCTCTACGTTTTAGGGGAGCGTAGCCGTGCACCACCAATTTTGTGCACCAATATGCCCTGAATCGAACGCCTTGGATCTCTCCGGACCTACACCGATCAGCCGTGCACCACTCTGCTTTGTCCTCTACCGGCCTTGGCCACCACCTGCCGTTCACCACCAGGCAGCGGATCGAATATGACTTCCAGGCATCGTTAAATCACGTAATATCACGTTCACCGCGTCTGAGGTTAGGTTTCAGATAGCATAGTTCTGTTCCAAAATTTATCGTCCTTCTGATTAGAGCGTCGGTAATTCTGACTTAAAATTATGTTATATTTTATAGAA